GTCTATCAGGGATGGTCTAGACAGTATTTGGGCCTGCCATGCGGGCAGGGGACTGGATTCGATGACCTCTCGAGGTCCCTTCCAGTCCTAGAATCTATGAATCTATAAATCAAAGTCTCTTAAGCAAAGTAAGCAGTCAGGGGAGAGGGAAGGTTCTCTCATGGATCAGCAACTTGTTAAAAAATAGGAAACAAAGGGTATGAATAAATGGTCATTTTTCACTTTGGAAAGAGGTGAATAGCGAGGTCACCCAAGGATCTGTACGGGGACCTGTGCTGCTCAACATATTCATAAATGGTCTGGAAAAGGGGATGAACAGAAAGGTGGTAAAATTTGCAGAGGATACAAAATTACTCAAGATAGTTAGGTCCAAAGCTACCTGTAAAGAATTACGAAGGGATCTCACTAAACTGGATGACCAGACAAGATGACAGATGAAATTCAGTTTTGATAAATGTAAAGTAATGAACATAGGAAAAAATAATCCCAACTTTACATACAAAATGGAGTCTAAATTAGCTGTTACCACTCAAGAAAGAGATATTAGAGTCACTGTGGATAGTTCTCTGAAAATATCCACTCAATGTGCAGTGGCAGTTAAAAAAAGCTAACAGAATGTTAGGAACCGTTAGGAAAGGGATAGATAAAATAGAAAATATCATAAAGACACTATATAAATCCATGGTATGCCCACACCTTCAATGCCATGTGCAGTTCTGGTCGCCCCATTTCAAAAAAGATATACTAAAATTGGAAAAGGTACAGAGAAGGGCAACAAAAATGATTAGGGTATGGAAAAGCTTCCATATGAATAGAGATTAAAAAGACTGGGACTATTCAATTTAGCAAACAGATGACTAAGGCAGGGGTGCTGGAACAATTTGTATAGTGTTGGTGCTGACACTCATTGAATCAAACTGTAAACCCTGTATATAATGGAAACTACTGCAAGCCATGGGGTGCAGCAGCACCCCCAACAACCCTAGTTACAGCACCTATGCACTAAAGGGGGTATGAAAGAAGTCTATAAAACCATAAATGCTATGGAGAAAATGAACAGGAAAGTGTTATTTATCCCTTCACATAACAGAAGAACTAGAGGTCACTTGATGCAATTAACAGGTAGCAGGTTTAAAACAAAGGGAAGTACTTCTTCATACAATGCACAGTCAACCTGTGGAATTCATTGCCAACGGATGTTGTGAAGGCCAGAAACATAACTGGGTTCAAAAAAGAATTAGTTAAGTTCACAGAGGATAGGTCCTTCAATGGCTATTAGCCAAGATGATCAGGGATGCAACCCCATGCTCTGGGAAGCCCAAAACTTCCATCTGTCAGAAGCTACACTGGATGATGGAATGGATCACTCGAAATTTCTTTATTTCACTGCTCTCTTTATTCCCTGGCATAGGCCACCATCAGAAGACAGGACACTGGGCTAGATCAACCATTGGTCTGACCCAGTATGACCTTTCTTATGTCCCTACCCAACACTGATTTGAATCTAGTACCACAACAGAAACTACTTAAGACTAAAGCAAGTGCTGTATATTTGTTAATACATAGTCTCAGCACACTGTAGTCTCTCTTTGGGAGATCATGAAAACATTAAAAAGTCTTCATTCTATATTACACTTTCAATTTCCATATTAAAGCTTCACAATTCCAAATATACTTGATTATGCTTATGTGAACATGTTCACTTATTTGAATAATATGGTTCAATAATATAATATATATTTAGTTCAAGATCTGCATGAAAAGCAATTAGTGTACATGCTCAGCAAATGCTTTTTAAAAATTGTATCCACACAATTCTATCAACGATTATTGTAAAAATGTTTTTTATAATGAAAAAACATTGACGGACTCTTCCTGTCCATTAGGGCAGTAGAGGGTGCTACTATATTGTAACATCGAACAAGGAACTGTATACCTTACCTTCTCCAAATTAGTAAGATATAGGAGCTGGCCTAGTTTCTTCTGAAGCTGTGATTTGGCAACTGCCTTGTCATTCAAAAGTTTTACTCGATTTTGTTCTACCTGCAAAAACAGCATTCATTAAGTGTGTGTACACATCACAGGGTGTTGTCTGATAAGTTTCAGAGTAAAGCTTAAAAGGATCATTAAAATACTTGTAAAGTAGATAATTTTTTTTGGGGGGGGGGGGAAATTAAACTATGCATTTAAACTTTTGAGACACAAGACAGTTAAATTCTTCATTTTAAAATTTCTCCAGGATAGCAACTGAATGTTCATTCTCTCTCTTTTGGTATGGGTGAGACAGGCGATAAATACAACTTAATTTAGTTGTCATTTGCTTCACTTTCACTGCAAGCAACAGAAATTTTACACACCAAACTATTAACCTTTATCACCAAACCTCTTTAAAGTGAAATATTTGTACTATTTATTTTATTTAGAACATAAATGATCCTCTGGTCTATTGCTGGCATTACAAATGACTTGTGAACCTGAACAAGAATTTTTAAAATTTAATTTAAATGTTCACTATCTTTGTGGTTTTACTTAATCTCATTGCCCTTCTTTTAGTCTGTTCAATGACAAGAGATATCACGCTCACTTTGGTTTCTAGTCAATTTCGTTTTCTACTTGTTATGTATTAGCACAAGCTTGCACTACTGGAGTAGTAAAGCTGACGAACAATTAAGAAGTGGTTCTTTCAATTTTGAGAACACATTTCTAATAAATATTGTTTTTTAATAAAGCCTAAATTTTGGATTTCAATTGCCTGATAACAGCCCTTTAAAACAGGACTGAAAAATCCACTGAAGGAAGAACAGAGCATCAGAAACATACCACCTGCAGCAGCCAGAAAGCTGAGAGAAGGAGCAGAGCAGTGGAGACACACATGCACTTATCACAGCAGCCAGGAGACCGAGGTACACGTAAAAGTAGCAGAGTACCCTCACCCACATAGTAACAATGAAGCTTTAGGAGATGAGGGAAGGTCAGAGAAAGATGCATTAGGGCTAATATATTTTTATACTTTTATGGGGCAACCTTAAAATACCAGTCCCTTTCTCTCTTGAAAAACACAACTGCCCCTTTTTTAACTCAAATATTTTACCTCATGTGGTTCTATGATGTGAAGAACAGGGGGGCTAGGCTTTGGCTCATCAGGATGACGCACTCGGAGCCGTTCTGTAGCCATAGCAAGTTCATCGATAGCAGAAACATGATCCCTCAGTACCATCCAATATTCATGAAGTAACTACAGAAGAAAACAAAATGAATTAGTAACAGAACTATGGGTTGAGTCTCCTGTAGACTGCTGCTTCTTATTATAAGCGGTACACTCTCAACACAGACTTGAATCTTTTGAGAGAAGATTTTCACAATAATCTGGCTACAACTTTTTCTGAACAGAAAACTGTACAGGAGCATAGGCATAAACTGCTCTCTTCCACCAACTCTTTATGTGTGGCTATGAACGAACTTAATGGACTTTTCACCTCTTTCTCCCCCACACAATTTCTCCAATGAAACAGAACTACAAAAATCTATGTAACCAAAAATGTAGAGGTCAGCTGCCTCTGCTTGATTAAGCATACTCTCTGAATAAAATGAGGGAAAACGAGAAAACTAGTAGCAATATTTGCAAAGCATAAAGTAGTAAAGCACAGTTTCTTAGATGAAGCATGAAGTATTTTGTTTACTTGAGTGACAATACCATTTTTTAAAAAATGCTAATATGCAAAATTTGACCATTCTAGATAACAGAGAAACAGAAAAGGGTAAGAGAAAAAGACAAAGTCACTGGGTTGTATTAGCCTGAGGAACAGCAAGTATTTCAAATGTTAATTACCTATTTTAAATATTTATAGAAAACCAGCATATTGCAAATTGTCTCACTTCCTGGTGTTCTCTCAAATCCCTAATTGATTATATTGTGACAAATGTAGTTATTTTATTCCTAAACCTTTTTGTTTTATGCATCTTTCCTCAACTTTTAATGATTTTATTCAAGAGTCCCTCTATGACATTGTTGAGATCCAAGGAACTACCTCCCCAATTTTTTCTGTTAAGATTCCTACCTTCATATATGACATTTGGCCTTGAGAGAACACTGGTTTGCTACTGTAAGGATGTTCCTGAATGCTGGCCTGCTGGCACTGTTTTGTTTTTTGTTTCTAAATAAAAAAAAAAGCACTGATGCATTAATTTTGGAGCCCACACCTTAACACCTACAAATGCAGAACTACTCTGCATGTAAACTAGCATAAAGTTAGACAAATAGGTCACATTTTGAGGTTATTTCAACATGGGTGGCACCAGCCTCTTCCCAGTAGGGGGCTGAGGTGGGCCTTAGCCCCACCTCACCATAAGGCCCTGCCCCTCTCCTTGGCCCTGCCTCTTCTCCTCCTCTCCTCCTAAAGTCCTGCCCCTGGTCAGGCGGGAAGCTGGCACCGGGCAGTGGTAAGAGCTGCCCAGGAAACATGGGCTGCTGTGGGAACCCTGGACCTTCCACCTGCCCGGGATGGCACACCCCAGAGGGTGGGGACACGAACTGGGGGCTGCTTTCAGGCACCCTGTCTCCCGACCCAGGCTTACTCCAGTGCTATTGTTGAAGGTGGGCCCCCAGCAAGCAGTTGTCCCCTCTCTGCTTTGCCTTCAGAGCTGGGTGGCCAGAGAGCGGCAGCTGCCACAGGGTGGCTACTGGGGGGAGGCCCTCAGGAAAATTTTGGGGTGGCTATAGCCCCTACAAGCCCTTCCCAGTCCCACCCTGAAGGAAAATAAAACCAAAACAGCTTTTAAAAATAGGTAAAACACCAGGAAAGACAGCTTATAAGCCTGTTCATTGACAATTCAGATGCTTCCTTGGATCATGTCACTAATACACTTTATTTCCAGTCACAGAGAATGCCACCAGCAAAGTCTTCTCTCATGAATCCCATGGCTATCATCAAGTATATGTACGGAATGTTCATCTCTGCATACAGTTTTAGCAGAGTAGTTGCACAAAAGCTGTGCAATTACTATTCACTAATAGAAACAGGACACTATAGAATTGTCCCACCTCCGGTCAGACAGCCCCTGCGCTGTTGAGGAGGATTAAAGGCCCAGGGAATCAGAGCAGTCTACAGGAGCAGAGGGAAACCTTCCCATAGTTGGGACCCTCCTTCCAGATGGTGTTGAGGTATCCTCTCGCACGGAGGTTACCTCTCTGGGGGAGGGAACTCCAGTTACTAGGAAAAGGCAGGTGTTCGTAATGGGAGATTCAATCATTAGAAACAGATAGCTGGGTTTGTGATGACCGGGAGAACTGTATGGTGACTTGCCTGGCTGGTGCGAAGGTTGCGGATCTCTCGAGGCATCTAGACAGACTTATGTGTCGTGCTGGGAAGGAGCCGGTGGTCGTGGTACATGTAGGTACCAATGACATAGGGAAGGGTAGGAGAGACATCCGGGATGCCAAATTTAGGCTGCTAGGGAAGAGACTGAAATCCAGGACCTCTATAGTGGCATTCTCAGAAATGCTCCCAGTTCCACACGCAGGGCCAGGTAGGCATGCTGAGCTTCAGAGTCTCAATACGTGGATGAGACGATGGTGTAGAGAGGAGAGGTTTAGATTCATTAGGAACTGGGGAAATATTTGGGATGGGGGAGCCTATACAGGAGAGATTGGTTTAGGTGGAGCCTAAGTGGAACCAGACTGCTGGCACTAAACATTAAAAAGGTTGTAGAGCAGTTTTTAAACTAGAAGCTGGGGGAAAGCCGACTGCTGCAGAGGAGCATATGGATCGGACAGAGACTTCTCTTAGGGGAGAGTCTAATGATAGAGATTTTCTAGGTTATAGTCAGGAACAGAGGATGGAAGAGGATAATGTAAGGGCCAGATCAGATGAGAAACATTCACATAAAGACTCTGACACATCAGAAAAGGGCAGACAAATAAACAGTGACAAGTTTTTGAAGTTCTTATACACAAATGCTAGAAGTCTAAATAATAAGATGGGTGAACTAGAGTGCCTCGTGATAAAGGAGGATATTGATATAATAGGCATCACAGAAACCTGGTGGACTGAGGAGAATAAATGGGACACAATCATTCCGGGGTACAAAATATATCGGAAGGACAGAACAGGTCGTGCGGGGGAGAAGAGGAGTGGTGCTATATGTGAAAAAAAATGTAGAATCAAATGGAGTAAAAATCCTAAGTGAATCCACATGTTCCATAGAATCTCTATGGATAGTAATTTCATGCTCTAATAAGAATATAACATTAGGGATCTATTATCGACCACCTGACCAGGACTGTGATAGTGATGATGAAATGCTAAAGGAAATTAGAGAGGCTATCAAAATTAAGAACTCAATAATAGTGGGGGATTTCAATTATCCCCATATTGACTGGGAACATGTCACCTTAGGACGAAATGCAGAGACAAAATTTCTCGATACTTTAAATGACTGCTTCTTGGAGCAGCTGGTACAGGAACCCACAAGGAGAGAGGCAACTCTAGATTTAGTCCTGAGTGGGGCGCAGGAGCAGGTCCAAGAGGTAATAATAACAGGACCACTTGGAAATAGTGACCATAATATAACAACATTTAACATCCCTGTTGTGGGAAGAACATCCCAACAGCCCAACACTGTGGCATTTAATTTCAAAAAGGGGAACTATGCAAAAATGAGGGGGTTAGTTAAACAGAAATTAAAAGGTACAGTGACTAAAGTGAAATCCCTGCATGGGTGCTTTATAAAGACACCATAATAGAGGCCCAACTTCAATGTATACCCCAAATTAAGAAACACGGTAAAAAAAACAAAAAAAAGAAGACCACCGTGGCTTAACAACCA